TGAAATTTCTGCCTAGCCTCGGTCATCATTACTAAAGTCAGTACGATAAACAGCATAGTCTCGATTATCTATTTAATCGTTTAATCGAGAAGGAAAGTTATGCAGTAAATCAACTTAAGATCCCAGGCTAGCGAGGCCATCTAGAGTTGATTATGGTCTGGATAAGTTAATTAATGTCTAATTAATAATTTAGATAACATTTCAGGCCTAAAGAAAGACCTGCAATAGACAGATTTAGCTCTTGCATAATGTATGTTTAATGGAGGTGCTCTTTGACTAGAGTTATCCAATATTGCCCCAACCCCTACCACAAAAAATAAAGATATAGATCGCATATATTTTTTATTCATGTAGTATAACAATAACAATACATGTACTTTTTATCTACTGTGTGAACCATCGTAAATTTAAAACGGATTTCTTCGATTATGAACAAACTACTTAACTTTCGTTATTATAAACTTACCTGTGTGTTTGAAATCAACTCCCGTTAAATAAAATCCACTGCACAACTAATTATCCCAACGAATAAAAAAGTTCTCTCTTGAAAATAATTGAATTCCCACAAACTTTGACACAGAAAAATACCAATATGGAAGCTGATTACGTCACTCTCCGGGAGATATCATTTCGTATAAGGGGTGACAGCATAGCAAATCGGCACTTTTACGACAATTCAAGTTTGGTTTAAGAAAAAGCTACAGTACAAATCTCGGCTCGGCATTGAGTTTGGGCGTTCACACACATAACTGTCCGTATTCTTTGATTTTGTTGCCGTCTTTTACATTCTAGTAAAATCTCTGCAAATTTTATAACTTTACACCTTTTGAAATATTTTGTGTTAATTAGCTACTCGGACGAAATCATTTTCTTTTGAACACACATGCTGCACAACAACAATTACATTTGTTTTACGGGCCTTAAATATTACCCATGATTATCTTTAATATGATAAATTAATAACATATTTTTAGTTTATATATATATATATGACTTTATTTTTACGAGTATCAGTGATATTTTCATTGTGAATAAAATTGGATAGACTGGCGATCAATGGTTTCAACATGGACCGTGTATGCACAGGAAACGTCCACGAAGCCTTCAGAATTCTGTGCCGCAACAAAAAATAGACCGGACAATCGTGACTAAAATAAAATTACCTCCCCTCGCGCAATTACCAGTATTATGTTTAAAAGCAAAGAAACATAAATCAATTCATAATATTTTTTATTAATCTTGCTACTCTTTTTTTCTTTGTAACCCATACATAGATAGACTACTATAAATGTAGTAAATGTATCAACACATCGTCTTTGTTTACTTCGGACGCGCCCATGTGAATTCGAAAAAACCATGTCGAGTTTTCGTTAAAAACAAACCTACTAAAACATTCTTTTAATTTTTACTTCTGCACAATTAATCATCATTCCGTACAGTATTATTCCTGAACTTTATTTTCATAATTTTAAAATCTTTCGTCCATGCGGGAATTTGGAGTATTTAGCAAAACCAAAGTGCTTACAAAAAATATTGAAATCGATCATTCCACAATTATCAACTGCTGCATTTGGAAATTTCAAAGTTCTAAACTGGAGAAATTCGTCACTACCAGATAGGAATACTTATTGGGTTGAAAAATTACCATGTAAGAATACTGTAAGTTCGAGAAATTAATCTGTATAAATTCCAGCTTTGTCAAATATCACATCGCTTGATTTGCTGTTGACAATTGAGATCTCGTCATGTCTCGTGCGAGCGGCAGAGAATCCAACCAACGGGACTATACGGTCCATGGTTTCCATATAAATCTTCAGTTGATATTTTCCGTCGCCCAAACTCAAACGATCGTAATGATCGCGCTTTGTTTTCATTGCAACACGTGGTTATCAAACTATCTGTCAAAATTAAACCACCCCCTCAACAGCTGCAATGGGGTCGTCCAACACGTAACGAAATCATTCTTGTCGTCGAATCAGTCGAAAATACAAGTAAATAGTCAAATTTGTCAAGAGAACATTTTTATACTTGGGATATTTTATTGGACGGGAGTTGATTTCAAACACACACGAAAGTTAAGTAGTTTGTTCATAATCGAAGAAATGCCTTTATAATTTACGATGGTTCACACAGTAGTTGTGAATTTAAAGTAGTCGCGTATACATGTTTGTTAAGTAATACTGGATCTCTGGCCCCCCCAATATTTCTTTTACTTTCATCATACCGAATCATAGCATCTAAAAGCGTTTCAAAATGCCGTGAATTTGAGTATTTCCTACCCCAACTATTTTAGCGATTACGTGACCACTTAATAAAATCTCGGTGCTTTTTGTGCTGACATAAATTAATTACGCTTGGGTGCATTGGGAGCGAACATCAATACTTGCATCGATAAATTTGACCGTTGCTGAATCTTGCGCCGAAAGAAAATTCTTTACTCAAATCTTGAACATAACTTCTGTAAACTTGTCATTTTGTAACAACCTTCAACTACTGTCTACCATTGTGATGCATTCGATAATATTTATCCATTTTTGTGAAGAAAATCGATGAATTAATTTTATTTTATCAAAAAAGCACATGAACAAAAAACCATCGCTGATTTTATCACAGATTTACAGTGTCGTTACGCGTGAAAACAATGATCAGGTTAGTCGTTTAATAAAACAAAAGATTAATTAACAGATAATCCCGGGTTGATTGTTATTTTTACATTTCTTTTTACCTTATCAGTGGGGGTCCAGTTAATTAACTACTACTCACGGGATTAGCGGGAGTGTTACAAAGAAAGAACGACAAGATGGTATCATTCAACAATGGCTGTTGAATGGGCGATGTTTTGTTGAATTTCAATTTATTAGTAAAATAGTGACCGTTGGCCGCGTTAGAGGAGTGACCGTTGAAACAGTAGAATTTTTACGGGGGGAATTAATCGTGATGCCCGTTGCACGCGTTGAACAGGTGCGTGTTTAGTAGGGGTTAAATTACTTAAAAATCGATCGGGGGGGGGGGGGATTTTGGGGTGCTCGTTGAAGCAAGTGTTCGCTGATTAGGAGTGCACACCCGGGCAAGTTCTACTGTATGTGGATAAAACAATCAAAATTAATATTTGTGTCTGTGATAATTATTGGAAACGGAACGTTTTTTTTTAATTAGGATATTAGTGTCTATGGCATGAATACGGTAAGCAATTTGTATTTGGAATTTACAAGTTGAACGGGTATCAGTTAACCTGTTCAGAAGCAAACTCGTACACGGTTACGGTAATACTTGACTCGTATAATTGATTGGAATAAATCAGTTTTACTCATTGGTTGTTTATATTGTTTTATTTACCTAATAATCAACTAGCTTGGCTCGCCATCACGACTGAGATTAGTTCACCGATGTTTTTGTAATAAAGAACAATAGTATTGTTTGTTGATTAGCGTTATGATTTTAGACAAAATGATAAGTTCACCAATGTTTTTGTAATAAAGTAGACCCGTATTGTTTGTTGATTGACTTTATCCCATGATTTAAAAAAATTGGCGATGGTTAATATTGGGTCAAAAATAATTCCTTAAAGTGCTAAGGAGCCCCCTTTTAGATAAACAAAGTGGCTATGTGCAATTTTATTCTTTGATCTTTTATACACGGGACATTTCTGTTATTCAAACCAATCTGCACGTGAATGACTACATAACAAGTTGACAGTTCATCATTGATTTGGGGTTCATGTGGAATAGACTCTTCGATCGAAATACAGTTATTCTTTTCTAAAATAAAACGAGTGCCTTGGATTTTTCTGTGGATTTGATAGCGGTTATAATTAACTAATATTCTCTTACATCGGAGACTTGTGTTGCGTTAAGTTCATTTTTACGGTAAGTACGAGCTTACGTCTGACTTGAAAGCGCTTTCGAATCCCGTTGCAAGTTCTATTTATGTCTTATTTCTATTTGTAAGACCGATAACCAAAATACCTTTATAGTTTACAATTTAAAGTCTATCTTTGCCGTAATTCAAGAGTAATTCTTAACTATACACTCTTAATACAGTAAATATGCAAAACAATTTGAACACAGCATAAATATGTAAACTGTGTAATACATGTATAGTCTTATGCATACGTGTCCTTTAAAATGTACTAGACATGCAGCTTTACATGACTGGTTGGAAATATAACCGCATATATATTGTGCAGAATATGTGAACATGCGTGTTCTCACTATACAACGTGGACTAACGCGTCCATATTATTAACGAAAATATTCAACATTCATAACATCGTGGCATTATATCGTTTCGACATCGATTGTTTATGACAAATAAATACCGTTAATTTTGCATGTAAAATTACACTGAGGCCTGTTGTGTCACACGACTATCGTGGCACGATAATCGTGTTTCGTCAAACCTCCGCGACATTTGTACTGATACCTGCCGTCGTATGAATACTGAAAAATAATATTTCACAGACCAGTACTAAAATTAACACTTATTACAGTATTTCAACATAATGCGGCAAAATAGACATTCGGCGGTAAAACTGAACAATGACCAACAACTAAACACATCATAATATCTGAACATCGCACGTGAAATTAGATGTTTGACAACAAAATTGAACACCTTGCGTAATTGGACACCATGACTGATTTTAATCACGGCTCGGGAAATTGAACAGTCCAACTAATTATTGAACAGTCGTGCTAATTAGACGGGACGCTTATAATTCAACACGTGTCGAGAAACTAAACACTAGTTAATTAGACTCTTGGTAATCAAAATTAAACAGTGAGATTGAAATTCGATAGAAGTACAAATTGAGCACTATTCGCCGAAATTCAACAATATTTATGAATAATTGGACACAAGAGTAGAAATTAACGCTATTTACGCTAGATTAAACGGTACCAATGTTACAGTGCATGTACAAGCATTTATAAATACCAGCAATGTGGATATCTCAAAAGAACAGATTCATCCAAATGAAAAAATAAAACATTTGCTTATACCTGTATTAACAAAAGGAATGCCATCGAAAGGAACATATTGCGATTTCCACATGAGTCTTGTTGATGGTTTTCCTGGACTAGGTGATTGTCGTGTACCCCAGAAACTCTGAGTTTGTTGTTTATGATATGTTAATAAAAGATCTAAATCTACTTCACTTTCCACATAACCACGGTAAGAATCACCAATTTTCTGAATGAGAAAAAAAACCAATCATTTTGTAGTTCAGGTTCACGATCATATTCCTTACAGTGTTTTGTAAGATAAATGATGTCTACTTCTGTTTATCTATGTAGCTTGCACCAATAGCTAGATACGTACCTCACAGTCTTTGAGTCGTGCAGCCCAAGATGGACAATCAGGTGGTAATTCTACCTGTTGACTAGTGACAGGAGGAGGGGGAGGGGGCATCAGTATCTGAGCTACAGATTCACTTGATACAACATTACTTAATTCTGTTGATACACCATCTGCTGATACTAGAGATTCTACCATTTCTGTAAATAAGTATTTAAATAGATAACCAGTGGCTGCCAGGCAGGATACGCCCCACATTTTGCAAGAGATGGATAGAGAACAAGCTAAAATCAAACATGATTTTTGGTACAATCAGGGGCAATAATCCAGAAAGTTATGGTCTGAAATGCGCAAATATCAAAAGGGACTGAGATCTTTGGAATATAAAGATATGTTTTAAGTTTCATCAAAATCAGATAAAAATTGTGACCTCTAGAGGCTCCACAACCTTGATATACCAGATTTTTACACTATTTGCGTACGAGGGGTGACAATTTTGTCCGGCAGTTTTGGTCCGTTTTTCACAAAATTCAAACTCAACCAACATTATGGTTTAACAGTGATATATTCAAACGTTGTTTTTTTTTTAAATTGGATAATAATTGTGACCTCTAGCGGGACCACAAGCTAAAAATATGATTTTTTGTACAATTCAGGAAGTTACGATCAAATATGCGCAAATATTGAAAGGAAGCAAGATCTTTGGGTTATAAATATGCATTTCAAGTTTCATCAAAATCGGGTTAAATTTGTGACCCGTAGAGTATCCACAAACAAATTGTGGACAGATGGACGTCCGGACGCGATGGCATAGTACATCTACATGAGAATATGGGCGTATAAAAACAATCTATTAAATCCAAGCCTTAATATACGAGTCCTGTCACAGAACTTCAGACACAATTTAAGGTTTTTCAGATACAATCCCTCTGGTATGTGGCACAGATTTGTCTTTCATTGCTTAGTGTGGATATTTTGTCAGGTATAACTAAAATTAGTAAAAATCTTTATTTCCCGGCCTGATTATAATGTTAGTGTCTCTCTTTTTCCATGGACATTTTTTTAATGGCAATTACGATTGTTGATAGTCAGAAAGACAAGTCCATTTTTGTCAGTTTTTTCCAAAGAACCTCTGCCTGTCCAACTTATCTAAAATTGTGCACATTAATGTACCTGCCACGTATGTTTTACCAACATGCATTATCAATTGGTGGTATTGCTTTGGTGGACCCAGTTCTTTAGAAATGTATTAGTTAAGCTTTTGGCCAATGTATAATATACAGTGAATTCTGACTCAACCAATTCAGTATTACGGATAACTCTCGTACACATGTACGACCAACTTTTAAAAGAACCAATATTTTTCTTCTATATTCCTTATAATCTGCACTCTGTTATACGGGAAGCTCACTATTACAGATTTTAACCGGTGAAGCCAGTCCCAATCATACTATTTCATTGTACTTCCAACTCCCAATAACAACCAAGGATTAGTCTTCTGACCGTGATCGAAGCGATATCCTTTCCCAGCGGATATAGCATTTAATGAACTGCTAATCTCCCATGTTATACACCTTTACTGAGTCAATCGTCAAAACAATGATCTGATCAATTTCAATGGTAATTAAATAACTGTTGATAGATAAGTGAATAAAACTCAGTTTTAATCACAAATTTATGTGTTAAGTGTTCAGTAGAATATTTTCCTGGTTATGCTATTCGACTGGAATGTAAACTCCGCAGATTCCAGTTTCTGTATAAAGTATGTTACGAGAGGTACCATGTGGAAGACGGGTTATAGTACGCAATGCGTCGAGTTGAAGTTTTTCAGGTTGGGGTTGATTTATCTTTAGAACAATTATTCCATACACAATCTGCATAATCGAAAATTGAAAGAATGAATGACTTGTATATAGTTTCTAGCATTTTTCGTTTTAGACGGTATTTAAAACTTTGCAGATAATTTATCAATTTGCTTATTTTGGACGTAAGATAATCTACATGCACATCCCAGTTACACGACTTACTGAAAAAAAGGCCCAAATGTTTGTGACTTACTTCATCGTTTATATTTGAGTTGTTTAGCGATAATTTAAAATTTGAGGGCCATAATTTTCTTGAAAAAGTTAAACTTACAGTTTTTGATGGGTCAAAATCCACTTTCCATTTAATTGACCATTGAAATATTTTTTCAATATATCTATTTAAAATGTCTTGTGTGTCTTTAGGGTTATTTATTATTCAAAAAAGAGAAGTGTCGTCAGGGAACAAGTGTATATTAGATTCAATGTCATTTACAATATGATTTATGCAAATAAGAAATAGTAAAAGACCTAAAATGGAACCCAAGGGTACCCCAGAAGCAATATTTTGAAAAGAAGAACTCTGGCCACCATTTAGCACCTTTTGTTTTCGATTCGATAAATAATTTTTGATTTATTTTAAAGTTTTATTTCTAATACCTACTGAGTTTAGTTTATGCAATAGGTCCTCGTGCCAAACACGACCAAACACTTTACTTATATCAAAGAAGATGGATTCGACTTCATATCCATTGTCAATGGCTCTACATTTATAATCATACATCTCAATCAATTGGTAAACGGACGAATTATTTGGTTGAAAGCCTGACTGTAAAGGGGTTATCAGGTTGTGCCGTACAGTGAAATTAAAAATATTTTTGTAAACGATTTTTTCAAACACTTTTCCAATCGAGCTGAGAAGAGTATAGGCCTATAATTAGAACAATCATGAATATCGCCTTTCTTATATATCGGAACTATATTAGCTTCCTTCCAGCAGTTTGGATAATTGGCTATGTTTTTCAAAATAATATAATTAATGTTGTCAGGACCACTAGATGTTTTCTTTTTTAGGAGCGTAAGTTCAACGTCATATTGATTTACAGAGAGGTCGTTTATGGTCGTGTTATAGGTTGTGTTATAGGTTGTAACAAAAGGGAGAGCATTGTTACTGACTGGGACACAAAGTAACAATTCATGAGATTTGCCATATCAACATTTTTGAAATAGACAGTATCATTCGATTTAAGTGGCGGTAGTTTATATTCAGAATTTCCCTTATTAAAAGACATGTTTTGATCAAAGACCACCATTTTGATTCCTTAAAGTTATTTTTGTTTATTAATTTATCAATTTTATCTAAGTAGGCTTTTTTGGATTTTCATATTTCGTTTGTAACTAAATTTCGTTTTTGTCTAAATAGGTACCAGTTGTACGAATCATTTAATAGTTTTGACTTTTTATGAGTTCTATTTCTTTATCTTATCAGTTTTCTAAGATGTGCATTCATCCATAAGGGATCTTTGGGTCGACATATTATATTTGGAACAAAGTCAAAGGATTTAATATCACTTACTAATATTTCTGAAAGATTTAAAGTTAATTCGCGCGGAAAATCAATGGAGTTAATAAAAGTACTATCCCATTGATTAATCAACCAGCGTTGACGTTTCTAGTGGTTTACTCACAGTTCTGTGCATGCCATGCCAAGAACTCGCCGTAACTGACCATTTCATTGGCTAATCCCTCACATTAAACAGAACGCGGTTTATATAACAACTCTTCCAGATCCTAGTGTTGTGAAGACAAGTAAAACGAACTTTTGAACTATAAAAAAAACGAAACGAAATGGGATCAGTATTTTAATCAGATTGACTTTCCACAACTGGTCTTAATCTGGAAATTCTGAAGGTATGAAGCTTTTTAAGCTCCCAAGGACCATAACGACAAATATAAATTTAATTTATTACAAGCACTACTAACCAGAATTTTCAGTAATATCTGTTGTGTCATCTTTTAACTGTAAATACTCAGAGGGGTCTTGAACTGCAATAATAGTAGCATATTCGGAACCTGTTCCCAGCCCACTGGGTAATACTTGAAGTAATCGACCTGTTCCATCAGTAAAACCACCAGCCAATAGATCTGATGGTGTATTGACTGTAATAATTTGTATTTGATCTAATGAGTTATAAACTGGATTGTTTATTGGTGTGGCAAGAAGACTCTGCAATGTGGAATGGTCTGAAAGGAATTTTAGAAAATATCATGAACTATGTAATAGTAATAGAAGTGAATGAACCTTCAAGTTCAAATATTAAATCCCACTAAATCAATGTGTCCAGAAAGAAAAAAGGGCACCTTACTTTGATAATTTAGAGATGGTGGTAAATACTTCATAGATGAGTAAGATTACAGGGCTCAAAATTCGCTGATCTGTATCTAAGGCCATTTTTTGAAAAACGGCTGTAGACAGCAAAGCCTTTCTAAGGCCATTTTATTCAACACCAAAGCCATTTTTACAATTTTGAGATTATTGAAGGCCATTTTTTAAAATCTGTTGAAAATTTTAATAAACTTCAATAATGCAATGAAGCCATGCAGTTGAATCCGCTCTTGGTTCAAATCATGTTATAAAGAGACTAAAGATGTAAACGGTCACTCGGTTAACCGGTCACGGTTCGGTTGCACTGTTCAACCGCCAACCGGTTAAAAAAATTACTAATCGGTATTCGTTTTCATATGATGCCTGACCTTCAAACCCAGGAATGATAGCCACAACATTGTTTTCTTTCACCAAGACCACATAAATATTTCAAATAGCACTTTTTAAATTACCGCTCAAAGTTTTGACATTTGTGTACGTTATTAGCACTCACTGCCAAGCATTAAATAGCCTCAACTGATTGACAAATTAATTGTTTTACAGTATTAACCTCATCACTCCACAAACAAAGTCTCAAAATGAAACAAGTATGATGTGATGAAATAATATTAAAATAGAGAGGATATAATAGTAAAATTGTTTATATTATCACTCGAGTGCGCGATGCTGTGGGGTAGAGCTGTACGATATTGCAAAAAGGGACGATATCGATATTGGCATTTTTTTCAACGATATAGTTAAATATCGCGATATTTAATAATAATGTCACTTTGCTATTAAATAAATTAAATATAAATGCATTAAAGCTGACTACAGTGTGAGTAAGACTTGTGGGTAAGAATTGCTTTATTCATACACTTTAAACTTTGCTTTTTTTATAATATAGATTTATCAAAACGAACAAAACAACATCCTTTTTGGATAAAAATTAAATACAACCGCAGATGTTTAAAAAGCGTCTGCTTGTGACCTTGTGTAAGAAAATTCTCAAATATCACCTGCAGCGGACGTACATAGGTGCAGTCTTCAAGTCTTGTATTGTAAGTTCGAACAGTTGAACAAATACTAAATGATCTTGACTATCTTCCATTCAAGCATTCGATTGTCTGTGGTATTTGTGGCCTAACAGTGACAGTAATCTATTTATAGATCGTTTTATTCTTGCTTTTAGAAATTAAGTTTTGTAGAGTTTTCTAAAAATATTTGTTTTTTAAAAATATGACAACCTATTTATAGTCTGGCAATTAGCCGCGGTAGTGGAAAATTTCAGGCGTTTAGTAGGCCTAAGCTTTACATGTAGTAACAACTGACAATTTATTGTGGACTAAAAACAAAGTAAAAGTAACGCATACACAATGCAGTGAAAAACGGATGCGGACACTGCGCAAGTGTTTTCAACATTTAACGATTCTCAAAACATTAGTTTTTTTATAATTTATTGAGATTTCCATGACATACGACATTCGATTTTTTAATGACACTCGCCCTAAAACGTCTGATAATTATGCTATGCTATTCGGGGATTCTGCGCACATATGGTCTACTTGACAACTCCATTCTCTTCCTCCACGTGTGACGATATACACAAAGTAATTCATTTACCGTATATGTCGATACTCTTTTCTTGTGTAAGCCCGGTTTCCGTCTTATATTCCTTCTCCGCTTGACATAGCCTATGGATGAAGGTAAAACACAAATTCACATTTCGAAACGTTTTTTTTTGTTAGAAAACGTCTCTTCACAATGCCGAGTGACATCGTCTGTCATCTGCTAAATATAGCGCTTAACTCGCACGCGATCAACTATAGATAACAAAACTACTTACACTATATTCCAATCGAAATATTTGCAGACATTTCTAAATATTTTTAGCTTGTGTATTTCTTTATTTGAAAACATATCCCTCATTCAAAATATAATCATAAACCCTAGAAAATGCCATCAAAATAGAATCTTTTCTCTGACATTCGTACTTGTCAAAATTTGCACGTTTCCATCTCGTAATTTCTCGCGTCTCAAGAGATCTCTATGTTGGGTTACCAATCATACAATTTCTGATTTGATAATTTGTTCTATTTTTAGTAACGTTACTCGTAGAAACAGAACACGAACAGTCATGCTTTAAAAGACAATTATCATGGGAGGTATTGAGCTAGCCAATTTTTACGAAAAAAACGCATCTCACACAATATGAATTTGGCTTCCAATATGAGTGCTATCGACGGCAATTTGAGGTATTTCTACGGCCAATGGCTGTCGTATTTTTTATTGATTTTTCTCCGAAATTTACGACCGCAATTTTGGCGGCCTATTTTAAACCTATCGACAGCCATTCCCATGGTTACGACAGCAATGGCCGCGATGGCTTCGTGAATTTTGAGCCCTGGATTAAGTATAGAAGCATTCAATCTTTGGTAAAAGAGGTTTTATATTACAGATAGATATTCAACCAATTAATATATTTACTTGAATTCAATGTTGTCAGTACTGTTCCTGGATTGACTAGGTCAGATGTATTGTTTTCTAACAATTCTGATTTAACAGTTGGATTTGCAAAAAGTTGTGTCCCTTGCGTCGAAGATGTGACATAGGTAACTGGTATGCCAACCATAACCATGTCTGATGAACTAACAGTATTTTCGTCATCTTTGGTCATTCTTTTCTAGAATATCTGAAAAAAATAATGGTGCTACACATTTTTGGTGTCTTTTTATAAAGATAGGTTGCCAGGCAACAAAACATACGCCCACAGCAGCTAAATCATCTGAGCGGTCGACAAGGGTTGTCGAATATTTATTCCTTTGTAGGTAATTGGGGGTCTTTACAAGACAGTTCCATACAAATCAGATTATAAATTTTGTCGTTTTGAGGGTTTACAAGGTTTTACAAACTGAAACAAGGGTCTCAACTCTGGAAATAATCTACAGAAATTGTTGAAATTTGACAGGCTTTTTCATTTTACTAATTTAAATAATGCATATAAATTTCATACATATCGGATGATAACTTTCATCAATCGAGCATTAACAAGGTTTAACAAAATGAAACAAGGGCTGAAATTCAATAGGCTTTTTCGTTTCACTAATTTAAATCATGCATATAAATTTCACAAAGATCGGGTGATAACTTTTGGCGTTAGAGCGTTCACAAGGATCAATAAAGTGAAACAAGGGCCATAACTCTAGACATAATAAACGGAAATTGCTAAAATTCAATAGGCTTCTTCATTTCAGTAATCTAAATAATGCAAATAAATTTCAGAAAGATCGGATGATAACTTTTGACGTTAGAGCGTTCACAAGGATCAATAAAGTGAAACAAGGGCCATAACTCTAGACGTAATAAACGGAAATTGCTGACATTCAATAGGCTTCTTCGTTTCAGTAATCTAAATAATGCATATAAATTTCAGAAAGATCGGATGATAACTTTTGGCGTTAGAGCGTTCACAAGGTTCAATAAAGTGAAACAAGGGCCATAACTCTAGACATAATAAACATAAATTATTGAAATTAAATAGGCTTCTTCATCTCACTAATGTAAACAACATATATCAATTTTAAAACAATTGGATGATAACTTTTGGCGTTAGAGCGTTCACAAGAAATTGTGGACGATGGATGGACGGACGGACGGGGGCGACGGCAATATACGTCCACATTTCAATGTGGGCGTATATAAATTGTCAATCAGTGTGCTTATTTGTAAACAATGCAATGTCAATTACAATATCGACTGTAAGTAATATTTTGAAATTTTCCGGTTTATAGGCATGACAATTCTCCAGTGCTTTTTTCTTTAGCTCTTTCTAATCCCACTAACGTTTATTACTTATTGGCTTTACAATAGTTGTATATAGTGCTCCACGATATATCGTTGAATTGATGTATCACGATTCACCTTCTAAGTCTCACAAAACGTGTACTGAATCGTGAGACGATGAATCGATATATATCGTGATTCTTGTTTATGGAGGGTTTTTTTGGCGCTTCAGTAACCAACCTGTCACTCTTACAAGGTACACAAACACTTTCAAATTGTTTTGGTCCTTATTTTGATACACATCAATATTGTGATATAAAACAGTCTTATTTCTTTGAGCACTAATTGCAATATGTATCGTGACTGCAGTGGCAATAACCAGCACTAGTAGGCCTATATAAACCAGTAAGAAGAGTTCAAGATCGACCCTTGTTTTTATTTGTCAATTTGCATGGCTTTTCGATTGCCAGAAAAACAAGACAATAGAGGTGCCCACATAATCCTCCTCTCTTTAATTCTTCGGTACATTGTCATGATGCCCACCTCCCTGCAACAGGACTTTGAAACACTTTGTTCTTTGACATACCAACCTCACAATATTTAATTTATATATGATTCTTATTACTGTCTGTTCCAGGCGACACTACGACTCGAAAATTGCTTGCTATTTCTTCAATTTTTAATTAAAATGGTTAAAACGTAACGACATACCTGAAATTGTCACCCCTTTACTTTCTACCGCACGTTAACTAATTTCAGACCAAGCTATATAATATAACCTTTCTCTCTTGAAAAATCGTTGTTTATTTTGCGGTAATGAAGAAAGCCCATGCTTGACCTAGTTATTTGGAATAAACCAAATCGAACAGGGGTGTGGATTTGACTTGGGGTCATTTCGTCCTACTTGCATGTTTACATAGTTGTTTCGGCTCAGTAGAATATAATTTGCTTTAATGAGCTATTTACGGGAGGTAATATAAATTTGCTATTTGGTTTCAGACCACATTTGTTTACTCCACTGCCTTAGATATTAAATTGGCCGCCCCACTCCAGTGGCTTTTGGAAATTGATATAAACTACATACAAAGTTTGATTCAATATTGTAGCGACACATCATGGAAATTTGGAAGTAGGTTAAATGACAATTCAAACGAATTGTCTATCTGGCTATGGAATAATAAGATATATAATTGTCGATTTTATTCGGCTTTGTACGACTTTTAATACTATTTTCAGACTGCTAAATCGTGGTCTTGTAGCACTTTTTAGAAAGATATATACCTTGGTGGACCACCATAATTGGCAATATATTGATAGAGTTTTCTTTTTTTTTTTTTTTTGAAAAGTTTTAATCCAATTGAAAAGGGGGCGCTCCTAAGATATTTTTATAGATAGCCTACTCTATTTCTTGTTTGATTTAGTTTTTTTTTTATTTTGTGAAATGCCCCTAAGCAAGTGATAATATGACAGAAAACGGAACGGCATTGTAGCTACACAAGGTCAACTGATAGATCAAGGGCACGTAATTGTGTTTTGTATTCAGACCACGGGTGTTTTTTTGTTATACATTTAATTTATTACAAAAAACATAATATGGAACACAATTACTATTTAATTTAAAGTGACGTTTTGTTGAGGGTTCTCAAAAAAACCCAAAAAAACGTTGAGAACCCTCAACGAAACGTCGCTTTAAATAAAATAGTAATTGTGTTCCATATTATGTTTTTTGTTTTACGTATGTCAATTGCTAAATGCCGCTCAAAGAAGATTTAATTTATTCTTTTTGATTCATCTTGAACTTAATTCAATTTCTGCAAGTCTACCTTTCAAACAAGAAAACTGAAAATAAACTATTTTATACAAATCATTTATTTACACAAATTCACAGAAAATGCCCCGACTATATACAATATATTTTACAGAAGTTGTCTGGCCTACATTCACGCTATCTATCGTACAATTTGTGCAAAAAATCTACACAATTCACCACACTTGCGCTTATCAATCTCTTTCCCAGTACTTTCACATGCATCCGCCTTTCACACAAATCACAGCCCACCCAATCCACAATCGCATCCGATTCACTTCCCGGTGGGTTCTCACAATCACATACGCTACACACGTTTATATCATCATCACTCGAATCTTCATTCGCAACACCACCGCCATCAATATTCTCAGCAACATTTTCACTATCACACTCTCCACTGAAATTGTCGCCCAAATCCTTTCCTCTCACACTCATACTCGCTGTCACTCCGGAACGAAATCACGACTGATGGTACTTCCTCATTCAATCTTCCAGCTTCCCAAAACTGATCCTCCACCTTGTCTATGACGTTGACATGCCTTCTTCTTAGTTAGTTGTATTTTACGTCCGCTTCCACCGAGGTGATATCGCAGACAAATTGACATGCCTTAGCCCAGTCTCCAATTGTCACACTAGCCTTGGCCTCCAGGAACAGACGCTTAACGTCTTTGATTTTAAAATTGGTGTTACTTCGGGCGACATAGGTCTTTTCTTGTGCTAAAATTAAAGTATTTTTGATTTAATGTGGAGACACTTTAAAATGTTATAAGGTGTAGTAAAAGCTTTCATAAATGAATGTTTTAACCCTTTTTAACATTACAGATAAGAACAGATTTATTATCTTTCAATGCCGTCAACTTGACTGCCGTCCAAATTTTAGTGTTAAGCTTTTACCTTGAATTATCTCTATGGGCGTCCTCGCTAGAGAGAAAGGGACATAATTTATAGACGCGGCGGTCCCACGTGACCTCATTGTTGACCTTATAGCACAGTTTTCCTGTACATTCATTATGAACTCGTGTGTTGACAAACGTTAGTTTTTGTCGTTAATATAGAATTTAATACCGATACGGTTCTCTTACCATCAATAAGGTCACGTGGAACTGAGTTTTTACTAGTGACACCTGGTGGGAATTGCATTGTTGCGGAGGACGATGTAAGGTCACCATTCTTAATAATTCTGCATGCAAGTACAATATCTCATGTTATCAAAGCTGCAAACAAATTTCAATCCACTCACTGGTGGGACGTGCGTAACGTCGTTATATGTTATATATATACTGAGCGCCATGGAAAACACATCAATTTTTTTCCCAAATATTTTATTACTAGGTGGTTTTGTAGGTATAATATTATGCAATACTTATACTATGAACTATTGTTTCACACAATGCTCCCAAACGCAAAAAATATCGGCCCGTGTGCACAAAAAAAAATTGCTCGAGATGCACACAAAAACCCAATATTTACGTGCAGCATTGTGTGTGAGCCCTTTAAAAGCATGTTTTCAACTTAATGTGCAGTACGGTACATGAACTGTGAAACGTCAATCTGTCGTAATTTGTTGTTGGACGTGTGAAGGAATCGAGCTAGAGATGCCGAGACATACTGAAAATCAACGAAATGAAGCCATGGGAATGTCCAGGGCTGGCATGTCTACACGTGCTATTGCCAGACACTTCAATTGTCATCAGTCCACTATTGTAAGGTTGGTGGAATGTGTTCGAGTTACTGGATCAACACGTGACCGTCAACGTCCTGGTCCACATCGCGTTACAACCCAGGCTCAAGACCGCTACAACCGGGTCACTCATCTGCGTGACAGATTCCACCCAGCGACTCAAACAGGTGCAGCAGTCATTGGACGACAAGAACCAGTAAGTGCCAACACCGTAAGACGTCGTCTAAGAGAAGTAGGACTCTGTGCACGACGACCTTATGTTGGAGCTATCCTCAGGGATCATCACCGTCAGTGGCTAAAATATGGGCTCAAGAGTAGACTGACAAAGTGTGCTCTTCAGTGATGAGACTGAGAGTCGCTTTCATCTTTATCTGATGGCCGTCAACGTGTGTGGAGACGTCTTGGGGAACGTCTTGCAGACTGCTGCATCTTCATAACGAATCGATGGGGTGGGGGAAGTGTAATGGTGTGGGGAGGCTTCACATTGATGATGTCTTGCAACCAATTGTTGTTCCGATGTTTCGAGCGAACCCACAACTTCAGCACTTCCAACAGGATAATGCACGTCCGCATACCGCCCATTTTAGTATGGACTACCTGGCTGCTAACAACATCATTGTCTTGGACTGGCCAGCCATGTCTCCGGACATGGCACCGATAGAACATGTCTGGGATGAGATTGGACGCCGTCTGTATCGGAGACCACAGATGCACACCATTGCTGCTTTAGAAGCTGCTCTTGTCCAAGAATGGAACAATTTGGCCCAGGCCTTCTTTCAAACATTGGTAAATTCCATGCGACGTCGCTGCACAGCGTGCGTAAGAGCCCGTGGAGGACACACGCGCTACTGACATCTGTGTCGTACTTTTGGTTTTGACCCCTTTGACTTTGTACCGTTGATTAAAGATTAAACATCCATAAGTGTACAAATGTGTTGTTATTGATGTGTTCCCATTTGAATTTTGTTCACAATAAGAAGCAAAATAAATAAGATATGTTTACAGGATCATTGTGTTATACGAAAAACTAAGTGATGCGTTTTCCATGGCGCTCAGTATATAATCATTAAATCAAGGTTATGTAATGCAGAACATGGCATATGTGTAAAAGTCAAATAGCAATGATGAAACATATTTAAATGAACTCCACTTACATACTAGCCATTGTCGTGTAGTTTATGGATGGTCCCTCTTATTGTCATCAGGTCAAAATTATCTAATTTTGTTGAACATTTGTTAACCCTGCTATTTTTTATTATTTTCCTGCGTTGTAGATGTCATTTTTCAAAGCCCCTTACACAGATTTTAAGGGTATATTCAATGCGTAAGCAATCTCTTTTTTGGGACTTTTATACCGTCTATAATTCAGGTTACTCTGTTTCTCAAAATAAGTAAATAAACGATTAATACATTGGCTCACATCTCGCGTAATCTTCATCTTGAAATTGTAAATAACAATAATCACTTACCCAGTATCCACCTTCTTATATACACACATCATCGTGCACTTGCAAATGCATGTGATGAAAGGATTATCCGTTATTCAAGGAATTATATTTTCTACGATTCGTTTTTTCTATCTATTCTACGCAAATATCTGAAACAAATCTTGTGTGCCTGTGGAACGCGAATATAAATAATAATAGATACTGTTAATCAAAACTATTTAAGTCCATAAAATTATAAGATATTGTACAAATTTACACTTTATCAGACAGGTTACCAGGCCATCTAATGCTGAAAATAAGTGTTCTGTAGGGAATATTTTAGGAGACATGCAATACTATGAATATCTCTAAGGAATGTTAAAATACAGGTAACCAAATAAACCTAAACACACACACACACCCCTCGCTGTCGCACTGCCGCAAAACAAACCGGCGAATCCTCCCGCACAAATTTTATTAACCGGATGCATCTGATTTGTGGAATACCTTATACCCCTACCTGATATACGAGTGACCCAACTTACGCAAGCGCAGTGGTAATCTTTATGTTCTGAGAAATTGATTTGTGTCGAAAAAATGAAAAATTTACAAGAGAATAAAGGATTTTATCAAACTTATAGGCGTTAAGGTTCGACGAAGAAAGTAATGGGGTGACAATTCAAGGTAGGTCGTGAAGTTTTGACCATTTTAATTAAAAATTTAAGAAATAGTGAGCAATTTTCGAGTCGTATAGTGTCGCCTGGAACAGACAGTAGAAATTATTGTCTTTCATTCTAACAACAGTCAGTGCATTTTATTTTACGGATGTGTAACCCCTTCCTTTTTTTTTGCCTACCTTAACCTAAGACCCCAAGAGTAAGTATTGTTATTCATATTCATACCATTTCAGGTTTGGCAGTAGGCCTACTATTAGCCCTAATTCATTACATCTAGCTATAAACCTGGCAATTTCCGGTCATCTGTCAACCAAGCTACGAAAACTGATTAACAAGACCGTGTAGTTAGAAGTAAGTAGTAAGCGATTTGGCTCAGATGGATGACAGCCCTTTCGTGACCCAATAAATGCGAATACATTAGCAGCACTACGTATCCGACACATTTTGACCAAATCTATATGTATCTTGTTACTCAAGGGGGTTGACAGACGTATTAGATAGATGTATTTCCAAAATATTTATTTGATAACAACACCCGGACGTTCTAGGGCAGGTACTTTATACCGAAAACGAGTCACAAACCTCGAAATCGCCCAAACCTCGTCTTCAATATGGCGTCCAAAATGAGGCAAAAAGTCAGTAGTTACTACGCATGCGTGAAAGGGAATCATAATTCGATTCACAGTATGATGAGAAAATCAATGGAATCTTCTTTGGGAGAGAACTCGCTTGAATTATATAGCTAACATCCTAACATCAATAGCGTATATATCGATTTTGTTGTTTTGTGAGGCGAGGGGAGGAGGGGGGTGTTTAGCAGAAATAAGACTGACTGATGCAGCCACGAGCCGAGCACCGCAGGTCCACAGGTGCGAGTTTTCTAGGAGGATAGGGGGGGGGGGGGCATGGTCCTCCGGAGAAATTTTTGAATCCAGTATCCTTGAAATGCCATTTCCTGGACTTTTGGGAGAAGATTTTGCATAAGTCTGATGGTCAGAAAAAACTTATAATATCAAACATGAGTAAAAATTGAGTAACCTATAGGGACTTAATTATTTCTATATAGTTATTTTATTTATTAATTTTGCAAGAACGTTAGGGACTATATATAGTACACATACATAATACTGTGAATCTGTGACAATAAACATCATTTACATGTAAATGATGGCCGAATGGTTAGCACGTATCATACGGTCTGTCATTGAGTCAAATTGGCGGGGTTTTGATTTCCCGGTTGTACGTGACAAGGAGTAGGGTCGCCAGTCCAACCTCGTGGGTTTTCTCCGGGTCCTCCGATTTCCTCCCACTGCTAAAGACCCCTACGCGCAAACGAATTATTGAAATAAAATTGAACCATGTGTTAGTCCGGAAATGATCTATATATAGTTTGTGTCGAGTGGACGTTAAACCCCATTTCTCTCTCTCTCCCTATATCTTCGATATATAATATATTGTTGTGGTGAATATATGGAGATATCAACACAAGTTGATAAAGTAACAAAAAACGAGGCTCTGCCCGAGTTTGTTTTTTTTTACTTTATCAACGAGTGTTGATATTTTTTGATATCAAAAAAGACGAGTAGGAGATTTTATTTATCACCCAATCCCTTCTTACATGCAAAAATAGATGAATATAATTCTTTGCTGTAGATTTCACTTTTACTGAACATTACGACGTAGTGATACATCATTTTTTGACAGCAATTCAACCATTGAAAGTCCTTTATATTGACCCAGTGTTTCAATCAAGGTCAATTGAATAACAATAGTTCATTTTTAATATAAAAAAAGTAACTTTTAATAAGAAATAAACTGTTCTTTGAAAATAAAAAAAGTAGTTCCTTTTCAACTGACCAATCAAATTCATGTAAAGCGATATCTCCTAAGGATTATGAAATATATCACACAAGCGATATCTACTGTAGAATGTATTATTGGGTGATAAATATAAATTAGCAAAGATATTTTCATCACCATTTAAGCGTTTTCAAATGATATTGGCCTTTATAATATCGCCGTAGGTCTTAAAAGTGGGTTTAAATTTCAACAAACTGACGTGTCGGTAATTCTCGTACGTAACTAACGTACAAAAATTAATTGGTGGCTAGCTTTTTTTTCGCACGTATACAGTGAATGGCCATTTTGCTCAGTAATCCCAGCCAGAATTTGGCTATTTTCTAAATTTGCGTTAAAGTTTAAAATATTTGTTTTAGAACTGAAACACGTTAACTATTAGTCAATCCCAACGCTAAAAACATCAACAGAATTGATTGTGTATATCTGAAATAGACCCGACCGACGCACAAAATAGTGCAATATGGCGGCCTCTATGAACAACCCTCGCAGACGCTGTCATTGAAGACAACGTCAATTCTATGAGTTGTAGATGTTATTTTTGTGAAAAAATCATTGGAAGAAGAGAGAACATGTTGGGACTGTACGAATTATATAGTCTTTATGGGTGCAACGGACACAATACTGAAGATAAACCTATTGTTTACAATGTAATTGACCTCATGACCCATTGACGCCAATGTCATGACCTGTGATGTGTCGATCACGTGATATGAATATCATGGCTAGTGACTGTGTCTGAGATACTTCTCCGCAGCGTGTCTCAGATGTTCAGAATGGGTAATTCTCAGAAACTAGCGGTGGAAATCATTTATTATTGTTTTCCGGTTTCTGCAGGAAGACTCTTGACTAATTTAAATTTTGTTCATTTCAAAGTACTGAATTGTATTATAATTGTTGGAAATGAGATATAGTCAATAATTAATATATATTATTCAAAGTAGTTAATTGGAGGTAACTCTTTAAGCTTTTAGTTCCTTTAGTGTCCGCTAGAGCAGTGTGGCCAGCGCTAGTGTTTTAACACCAGTTCTAGTGTTTTTGTCCAAATCTAGTGTTCTAGTGAATGTTTTTGAAAAAAACCTACAAATCTAGTGTTTTTATATTGGAAAGTTTTTTTAATCAATTATTTCGATTTTTTAAAAAAAAATCAAGTCTAATAAATCATTTATGTTTGGCTATTTTTAATTTTATTCTTCTTAAATAGACCCATCTCTTTCTGATAAATTTATTTTGGATCTGGCAATCTACTTGAGACTTGGTAAGGTTTTTGTGCTTTTTTGTTCTTATAGATAATTGTGATTATTGATTACGGTATGTCTATAAGATACGACGCAGGCTTTCTTAAATATAATTGGAAGGTAGGCTGTTTCTTTTTTTTTTTTACCTTACTATAATATGAAAATTATTAGGTAGAAATACAATGATTTTAGGTCTATATTATATTTGTTTGTTTCGATGGTTATTAATTTATTGTCGACTAAGCAATTTCTTATCTAGATCTACTTAGCTAAATTGTTTTTTAGTAGGATAGGCGATAGACTTTGACTAACGGCGGGGTTTAGGCCTACTATTTCAAGAAAATCGCCATTGTATCACAAACATGTAGCATAGTGCATGTTACCTACCTTTTACATTACACAAAAGTTTATTATATAATCAAGAAAAAAACCCATAATTATCTTTGAATATTTTTTTGAGTAACAAAAACGAGGAGTTTTCCGAAGGGGGGTATTGTTTTTATGAATTTAGTGTTTTTATAGGTAAAAAATAGTGTTATTTTAACTCAGATCTTATGTTATGGGAAAATTGTCACTGGTCACCCTGCGCTAGAGGTCGTGGAGAGTTCGGGGGGAAATGACTGTTTGCCTTACATCGTTGTTTTGATTGACATCGTTTGTTTATATCATTAATTGTACAAGATGTGAAGATTCATTAAAGATACATTATGGGAGATTCGATAACGAGTTGGTAGTTCTGACTAAAATAGTTAAAAACTAGATAGTGTAATGGCAATTTGCTGAAAATTTCATTCAAATTGATCCACTATGAACCGAGAACTAAACAGTTGAAATTTCCGACTAGCCTTGATCATCATTACTAAAGTAAGTACGATAAACAGCATAGTCTCGATTATCCATTTAATCGTTAAATCGTGAAGGAAAGTTATGCAGTAAATCGGCCCATAATCCACTAAACATCACAGGCTAGCGATGCCATCTAGAGTTGATTATGGTCTGGATCGGTTAATTAATGTCTAATTAATAACATTTCAGGCCTAAAGAAAGACCTGCAATAGGCAGATTTAGCTTTTGCATAATGCATGTTTAAAATTATAGATATACATAGTTTCGTCATTCCTCTGGCATAGTATCAAACATATTTCTGGTAGCAGAGAGAGGTTAGTTAATCGTAAGTAACATCGAAAATCGTCATCGAACGTCAGCATAGAAAATGTCAGATATACAGACACTCGTGATAATATATTATAATGGCGCGAAACCAGTCGCGCTCGCCCCAACTTGCCCCAAGCGACAGTTAACACAAGTAAAGATACTAGTAATAATAGCGATAATAGATTAGAAGAATTATTGAAGAAGAAACATAAGTTGAAAACACAATTAACAAAGGCCAGAATTAATTTGACAGTATCAGGCCCGTAGCCAGAGGGGGGGGGGGGGCAATGCCCCCCCCTCGAAAAAATGTTTCCCCCCCCCCCCCAAATAAAAATTGCCGACCATAGCTCTAAAATACCTATTATAGACTGTGCCCCCCCCCCCCTAAAAACTCCACTGCCCCTCCGAACCTAGGAAGCTGGCTACGGGCCTGGACTGTATTATTATGTTCTGAGGTCGAGTCAGAAATTGAATCTAGCCGTCGTATTCGTTCTACTTCTAGGACAGGTTTTGTCATCTCAAGAATACGTTATAGATCTTTTATTAATTCTCTGTGACATTGACGAAAATAAATATGATGCAGAATTAGACTTTGTTCAGAATGACCCCTCGGTTATCAAAGTTGTTGAAAGAACCAGGAATGTATTGTCGAAAGTACTGAGTTCGGGTAGGCCTATTGCTGGTTCAAGAGAGATAACTCCGATTATGCCACCCAGTGATTACGTTTCTAGTGTAAGGAAAGATTTGTAATATAAGAATCTTCAATGAAAAAAATGGAATTAAACAGTTAGAAGGTTTAAAGCGTCGACACACGTACATGGATCCAAAATTTCCACAGTCTACAACAGAATACAATAATAATAATAATAGCTTTATTTCAAATCAAGGGTCCACAGGGGACATGGTACAGAGCAAACAAAGAGAGAAAACCCAAATGACAGTCAAGTAAGAAAATATAATAGTATACATAGCTCCCAACAGGGGAGATACACATATAAGTACCTTATGCACTAAGGCTTCATGCCGAAAAAAAAACGGCTCATGAGAACATTATTATTAATCATGAAAGGGAGATAAATCCACTTAACTCTTAATGTTACAGATCAATATTAAGCATTACAGAACAGCTGTATTCATCCGCAAAAAAAAAATAGTACCTAAAATTCATGTACATTATATAGGTTTAAACGTCAAATGAATAGAGACGTCTTTAATATATACTAAATATTCGTATCATCCCAAATCGACAATAAAACAGTGAGAAAAAGGAAAATCTAAGTAATGGCAATCTAATTAACATAAAATTTACGACATAATGGATTCTTCAATGTTTTGATGGTGATCATGAAGAAAATAGGCCTACATCTGTTCTCAGGAATCCGATAAGATTTTCAAAAAAAAGATCAGTAGAATTATAGATTGTTATTCCACAAAGTCGAAAGGTATGTTAGATTTTTCATTCAGTCAAGTTAGAACGAGTTTATTGCCGTACTTTGAGCTCCAAACCCGATAGAAATGAAGGCGGAAGTGGCCATAATAGTTTTAGAGATCACTACGTGATGGCGCTCCTGCGTCGCGACAAACGGGGCCGATTTGTCAAGTGATACAGGACCAAATCGTGTCAATAACAGTGAAGCTAGCACTCCGATTCAAAATATTTCTTCACCAGAACCTGACCCCGTACCCCATGATAAGAATTCGCCAAAAGATCGAGCGTCATCGAATAGTCAACAATTTGTTATACTAGCGCACCAAAGTTTAATAATTCTCAGCAGATTGATAAGGACATGTATCATCGCATTTATTGAGTAATTTTTTTTTTTAAATTTGTGTTTTTAACAATTTTCAATTGTAAATAATTTAATTAAATCAACCTGTCCATAATATCATATTCATTGTATTGGACATTAAATCTGTAATAAACAACAACAACAACGTGCCTAAATTCTCGGGTGATAAGAAACTTTATCAGATTTTTAATGATGCGTTTTTTGAATGTATAGATATAACAACATGCAGTCCAGCATATAAAATGTTACAACTTCTTCAATGTTTAGAAGGCTATGCACTTAAAACTATTGAGGGTTTTCCAGGGTCAGAGGTAGGCTATGAAGCAATCAAGAAACGCCTTGAAGATAAATTCGGAGGTGAGCGTCGAGGTATTCTTATGCATTTAGCCTAGATACAATCCGTCAAATGAAACCGGTTAGTCCCAATTTAAAAAGTATAGAAGAGTTCGCTGATAAATATCAGAATTAGCCATCATCAGTCTTCAAGATAACGGCAGAAACGAAGAGTTCGAGACTAATTCAATGTTTTATTGTATCGTCAAATCAAACCTATCTACAATTCAAGTGACACATTTCAAGCGTTGGATCGTTGCTGAGAAAAAAGATGAAAATATTGTTTCGCTTGATAGATGGCTGTCGGCATAAGTTAAAGTTAGAACAGAAGCACAAGAAGAAGTAGAAGGTTTTAATAGATCGTCATTCACGTCAAAACCAAAATATAATATATATTAACACCGGTCGTTCTGGATCGTTTGTATTCAAAAAATAGAAATCCATGTATGATTTGTCACGTCTTACGCTACTCGGTTGGACTTGTTTAGGAGCATTAGATCCACAATCGTATAGGCATTATACATTATGCTAGGACATTTAATATAATGAGCAGTCTGGAAGTTGACACTAACACATTACTTCTTTAGATGTGGGATGTAGAGTCTATGGGTATAGTGTAACAGTGTACATTGACAAAATATGCAATATATTTTATTTTAGATATTTTATTCTTATGCATTTTAAAAATGTTTATTAAAGACGTCGAGTCTATATTGCATAAATCAACCTTGACGCTGATTTGGTGTCAATAGATCTTAAGCATATTATATAATTGTATACTGATATAGAAGAACTTGAATAGAGGGTCCTTTATTGGTTGTTTATTTTAAAGTAATTAAGTAAGATTAATGGTGACAGCTTTAACTTTAAAAACAATACCTAGGATTACACTGACGCTATTACTCGCGTAGTCGTTACCTGACATATTAAGTCAAGCGAGTCTAGATCCGGCCAATCAGATTTCGTATCGAGTAATGGGCGTCTTCCGTAAATGGTCTTCCACCAATCAAAAAATGAGATTAATCCAACACGTGGCATCTCTAATATTTGCCGGGATTTTTGGAAGATATAAATATATGGTATCCAGACAACTCATCCCAAAGACAATTCATCTCAAGACAACTCATCCCAATATAAGACAACTCATCCCAAGTTAGAAGACAACTCATCCCAAGTTAGAAGACAACTCATCCCACTATAAAAGACAACTCATCCCAACTTTAAACCATGGGTTAGAAGACAACTCATCCCAACAAATATAACTTATAAGTGATATTTGTTTCAATACAATTGCTATCTTTGAAGACCACTCAGACCATAACCAATCAGAATTTGTTATCTTAATCAAATTGATATTGTTGTTTTAATCAAATTGGTGATTACTCTTTGTTTTATTCAAATTGATATTGTTGTTGTAATAAATTGATGATTACTGTTTGTATTACTGTTTTAGTACTTTGTTGTTTTAACACATTGGTAGATGTGTTTGTTTTATTCTTTCATCATGAAGCACTTCAAACAAAATCAATTAACAAAACAACGATTAACTAAACTGAGTTGTAGTATTTACCCCTATTACAAACTAATTAAATTGGTGAAGCACATCAAAGACAAATATCATAATGCTAATTACAATGGTTTGAGTAAGTGTCAAAGCTGGGGTATTGTATAAAAATACTGAAATCAAATATTTCTGTATCATTTTTCAAAATGTCTGATAGCTGTATAGTTTGTGAGTCAGTAGTTCGCCCAAGACAGGAGGCTGTTCAGTGTGACGGGTGTGAACGATGGCAGCATAGGACATGTAATACTGGTAAGACTTTAATGTTGTTTTTTAAATTCAAAGCTATTGTATTAAATTCAACACTATTGTACTAAATTAAAAACTCAACTCTATTGTATTCTCAATTCAAAACTCAACACTATTGTACTAAAAATATTGTATCTTTCAGATATATCTAGAGCTCAGTACCGCAGGATGGTTAAAGAATTGACAATGGTGGCCTTCAAATGTATTGAATGTTCAGCACCTGATGAAACCACGAGTTTTACTTCACCGAGGGCGGAGAGTACAAGACTGTCTTTACCTGTTGATCAGACTACATTCCATTTATCCGTTTGCCCTGATGTCGATATGCCAGAAAATATCCAGGAAAAGTAAGTACAAGCATAGTTTATCACATCCAGAACAAGTTTTAGTATTATCCTTATCCTATATCATAATCTATACAAGTTTTTTTATATTGTTAACATTCAGTTTTTATTGTATTTTTATTATGAACAGTTCATTGACGGATGAGTCCATAGGCGACGATTTATCAACAACAGAAGCAATAGTGACATACAAGGTCGTGGATAATGGTACCGAACGAGGGAAAAGGAAGCTTGTGTCCAGTGACGGACACACCTTTACCATGAAAAGGCAGAACAAGGGCAGTACTGAATGGCGGTGTAGTATTCGCAACAAAACAACCCTCTGTCCAGTTATTATAAAGGAACGAGCCGGGACGTACAACGCCAACACAGAGCACTCCCACGCCGCCAAACCAGGAATATTGACAGCAGTCAAGATCCAGGCTGAGGTAAACATTTATTATATTTTGACATATTAAATTTCATTACATATTATAGGCACCTTTGTATTATATTAAACATTGTATTATATTTTGAAATTAAACATTGTATTATATTTTGAAATTAAACATTGTATTATATTTTGAAATTAAACATTGTATTATATTTTGAAATTAAACATTGTATTATATTTTGAAATTATATTATATTTTTAGTTGAAAGTAAAGGCACCTATGACACTCTTCGAGCCAGCACAAAATATTGTTGATAATATCCTAGCTGAGCATGTGGATAACAGAGAACCAGAGGCATCCAGACCCATTTATTCGAACCTGCTTCGATATTGTAATCGGTTCCGACAAAAAGAGAGACCAGCTGATCCAACAGATCTTGATTTTGAGGTACGGAATAAGTACAAAAAGACATATTATGTAAATATTACCATCAGTTTTCATAGTAACTGAATAATGACATCAGTATAATAAGAAATATTCAATATAATAAGCAATAATAATAATTACACCATTATTTTCTAGATCAATGAAGAGTTTTTGGCAACAGCTATTCCGGAGGTGTTTTTACAGAAAGACATACACACAAAAGATGGCCGACACCTACTTTTTGCCACAGAGAAGCAAATTGAACTTCTTGGAAAAGCTAAGACATGGTATATAGATGGTACTTTTAGAATAGTAAACAAACCATTTTACCAGCTATTGTCAATCCATAGTTTTTTAAAATCTGGTGAAAGTATCAAGCAAGTTCCCTTGGCGTTTGTACTGATGTCAGGAAAGTCTAAAAGAGACTACAAGAAGGTATGTAAATATTTTAAGAAATATTATTAAGGTCAGCAGTAAAAAAAAGACTTATTACTAGGTCAGCGGTAAAAAAAGACATATTACTGACTACAAACAAAGACATTTTAACAATTTTATTTAATCTTCACAGGTATTCAAGGCCATCATGGATATGACACCATCAGCCCCTGCAGTGCAGGCTTTTGTTGCAGATTTTGAGGCAGGGATCTGGCAGGCTTTAAGGTCAGTTTTCGACAACCCAAGTATACATGACTGTGCGTTCCATTGGGGTCAGGCGGTTTGGAGAAAGATCCAAGAAAACGGACTTCAGGTATGTTACTTTTGAAATAATTGAGTATTTGAAAACGATATTATTATTTGATATTATTCACAACTGTCTGGTATTACTCACAATTAGTCTATGTTTTATTCACAATTAGTTTTTTATATTTTTGTAGACTGCTTACAGCCAGAAAGATGCTGTATATAAGTTTTTTAGAAAAGTCATCGAGGGATGGCATAATCGAATCAACCAAAAGGCCAGAAAAGGGAATTTACAGTTTTATCTACTGATATCGTTGTTGTATAAAGAAGCAGCGCAGCTACCGACACAAATGAAAATGGTCTCAGAAGGAAAATTAAGAAGACACCAGAAAAAACAATCACGAACTACACAAAGCAAGTTATTTCAACTTTGGAATTTATATACCAGTCAGGAAATAAGCACCAACCAGCTACTAAAAAGATGTGGGGGGATATATGGACCGAACTGAAGGACAGACTTACGTAATAAATGACTGACTGAACGACAAACTGACAGACTAAATTACTAAATGACTGGCCTAATAAAATGTATTAGTTGATAATATTGTTGAGGTTATAATAAAATGTATTATTTAATAAATTGTTGATGTAATAAATTCATACATAAATGTATTATTTAATAAATTGTTGATGTGATAAATTCATACATAAATGTATAATTTAATAAATTGTCGATGTAATAAATTCATACATAAATGTATAATTTAATAAATTGTTGATGTAATAAATTCATATATTAGTGATTATTTGTGGTATTTATTTGTAACTTGGAATGAGTCGGGTGTTTTAAAAGTTGGGATGAATTGTCTTTTGACTTGGGATGAGTTGTCTTTTGACTTGGGATGAGTTGTCTTTAAAAGTGGGATGAGTTGTCTTTTATTGGGATGAGTTGTCTGGGATGAGTTGTCTTTGGGATGAGTTGTCAGGGAATCAAATATATCTAGCTAAACTTTCACCATTATCTTCACTTAATAAATTACTTTGAAACGACAATATTGGATCTCTCTTATATTCAGGTAAGCCTCTATGTATATTTTAATTGTTTAAACTTTATATATATTTTATTCTAACCTTTGACTTAGAATTATATCCTTTTATATCGGATCAATACGATTAGTAGAATCGAGTATTACATTAATAGATATTTCTACATCTACGTAAAATATTAATTAATAAACGGAAAAGTAAGAATTGATATGATTCATTACTTGTTTAATTACTTGAGAATATTTTACAATATATATATTTATTAAAACGGAAAAGTACGTTTGTCGACGAAATACTTGTTTGTTTAAATATGTTTCAATAACAGATAATTAATGTCTAAAATAATTAGAAATGGTTCGCGCTAAATTAAACGGAAAAGTAAGGATTTACATGATTTACTACTTGTTTAACTTCTAGCGAATATTTTACAATATATATTTTTAATAGACGGAAAAGTACTATATATTCGATAGATTACTTGTTTATTAAAGAAATGTGTTATTTAGATTAGTGGAAATAATTAGTGACTAAAAAGTACGGTATATGTTATTTTCGATTAATACTTGTTGCTAAATAGAGAATAAAGATTTAATAGTTATATTTACTAAAGATTTAATAGTTATATTTAATAAAGATTTAATAGTTATATTTAATAAAGATTTAATAGTTATATTTATTAGTTACATTTAATAAGGATCGTACATTTAAGAAATTCTACATCAGTAACTTGTACCTCTTCACAAGCGAGTTAGCTCTATTGTATTACATTGAAATTATACATATATTATTATTGTTATTATATGCTACACCACCCTATGTATATATATTATTATAAGCTACACCATCCTTTACATAGTATTTACGTTATATTGTTATTAATGTTTGAATTTGAATAATGATTATCTTCACTTAATAAATTACTTTGAAACGACAATATTGGATCTCTCTTATATTCAGATTAAAAAACCCACCGAAAACCACACTTTTACAATAGTCGTCAGTAGTAAACAAGCCACACCGGTAGAACAAGAGATACTCGATCGTGTAGATAAATCGATGAAACTGGTTGATAATCGTTATCGAGTTAAAATTCCATGGAAGAAAAATAAGCCTATTCTTGAAGATAATTACGAGTTACCAGAATCCAGATTAAAAACCTTAGAGAGATCTTAAAAGACACGTCCTCTAATCGCAGAAGAGTATAAAAGAATAATGAACGATCATTTGCTTAAAGGTTACACAGCAGAAGTTAAATCGCTTTCAGATAGCACTTTTTGGTATCTTCCTCATTTCGCTGTAGTTCGCCTAAATAAAGAGACAACGAAGGTTCGAATAGTCCTGGACGCAGCCGCTCGATATGAAGGTAAATCTTTAAATGATTGTATTCATTCAGACCCAAAGTTACAGCGAGAACTTTTAGATATATTTGTTCCGGACTGGTGGGCCGAAGGCCCACCTGTCAGGTCATTGACCACGGCCCACACAAGTACGCGCCTTCAGCGCGTCACAAGCGCGGCAAACGGGGTCGGGAGGGGGGTGTCTCCCCCTATGGAAAATTTTGAAAATTGACAACCTCAAACCCATTTTCCAAGCATTTCAGACCAAAGCAGAAGAAGGCAAATTTTTGATTTCCTGAACTAAGTAGAGGTTAAAAGATGAATTACACGGTTCTCGGTATAATGAGGTCAAACTCATAAAGTTCTTTCCTTGTAGTACACTTCTTTTTTTGTGTTGTTTGTCAGTCATTTTTTTCTTATCTTTTCCTTCTCCTGTCCTGTACTCTCCTTCTTTCTTTCTTTTCTTCCCCCCCCCCTCTCTTTTCTTTTTTTCTTTTTCTGTTTTTCTTTTTTCTTTATAGGCTTAGGCCCACCTTTTTTTAATGAGCTTAGGCCCACCTGTCACGGACAGGTGGACAGGTGGGCCCAGTCCGGCACTGGATATATTAATTAGATTCCGTAGTAACCAGATAGCAATAGCTGCAGATATCACCGAGAAATTCTTACAAATACAGATAGACCAAGATGACAGAAAGCAGGGGCGGATCAAGAGGGGTCGACCCCCCCCCCCCCCCGCTCAGCTACATAAAAAAATTCTTGGCCGTGAGCTTTATCCTTTATCGTGAGATGTGGGACAGGATGGGCACTCAAAGCACGAGATAATGATATAGACATTATGTGATATCAAAATTAATGCTTTGCATCCATGAAATTGAATCACAATGTCATTGTATTAATTCATAATAAAAATTGACGTCAAACGAGGTTTTGAATTTCTCTGTTTAAAAAGCTCAATGTGTATTTATATACGCCAAAATGACGATAGAGACCATGCGGGAGGGGGGGGATACATTGTCTCAGGAACCTGGCAAACCCCCTCCTGCAAAAATTCCTGGATCCGCCCCTGGAAAGTATCACAGATTTTTATGGAGAAATTTGGACGAAAACGCACCTGTAAAGATATTCGAGTACCAACGTTTAGTATTCGGAAATACTTCGTCCCCGTTTCTGTCTCAAGCACTTATTCGTCATCATGCCACTGTAAATCAAGAAGCCTTCCCTTTAGCTTCAGAATCAATCCTCAACTCGATGTATGTGGATGATTTATTAGATAGTGTTTCGTCAATACCAAAAGCCATAGAAGTGAGACATCAGATTACAGTACTGTTAAAGATGGGTTCCCAGAAAAGTATTCTATTCGATCCTTTGAGCTTTTTAGTTCCATTTACTATTCGTGCAAAAACAGGTATCCAGATTGCGTGGATTCAAGGTTTAGAGTGGTACACAGAGTTACCAGACAACTTATCATCATATTGGAACAAATGGTTTAATGAGCTTATGCAGTTGGACCTAATTCGAATACCTCGTTGCCTTGTCACATATTCTTTAGTAGTTAATAGTCGGTCGATTCATACATTCGTAGATGCGTCAGTTACATTCGTAGATGCGTCAGAAAAAGCTTATGCCGCTGTTTGTTATCTAAGATGTGAATATGACAATAATAGTATTTCGGTAGTTATAGTTGCTTCTAAAACGGGTGTCGCTCCGCTTAAGACATTATCAATTCCAAAATTAGAACTTTCAGGAGCAGTCCTAGGGTTACGTTTAACTCACACAGTTTGTGAAACTTTATCAGTGCCCTCGACAGATGCTACGTATTGGTCCGATAGTCAGAATGTCCTTTATTGGATTCGTAACGAGTCTCGTATTTACAAACCTTTCGTCGCTCATAGAATAGGAGAAATTCATAGTCATTCCATTCCAGAACAGTAAAGGTTCACATCAACGAAAATTAATAGCGCGGATTTAGCTACCAGAGGCATATCGGTTGAAGCTCTAAGTAATAGTAAGTTGTGGTGGCATGATCCAGACTTTCTTTTAGATGACCAGGGGCGGATTGGGCCATCGGGCGATTGGGCGATCGCCCGAAGGGCCGGTCGTAAAAAAATGAAAAAAATAATTTTGTCCAATTCGTCTAAAAAACCTTTTTCTGCTGAACATTATATGGGTGGGGTGGGGGGTATTGGACCGGCCATGGAGCGATGATGATCATGTTGTATGTGGCCGGTGGCTTTAACGGGCCGCCAAGCCATCACTGGAGTTTGGAATGGGCTGGTATAATAGACTTTCTGGGCCGGGTGTGCTGGGTGTGGGCCGGAATTAGGAATCCTGCATAATGAGACGATATGATAATTTCACAGGTTGATGGTTGTAAAGTTTTGGCATAAATTAATCGATTTATGACAAATATTATTTGACAGAGATTATAATCAGATATGCCACCAAATCGCATATTTGGGGTTTATTTTTCAAAATTTTCCAGGAGAGCCCCCGGACCCCCCATCCGGGCTCCGCGATCAGTAAAAGGAGCCGCTCCGACACGGAAGCCCGGGCCGGTCCTCCCCAATCCGCCCCTGTAGATGACAGTTGTAATTGGCCGAAAACAGATTTAATCGTTCCAGATGCCGCTTCGGACTAATCGGAGGAAATTCGTCAAAACGCGTCTTCCGCATTTGTTACTTTTCCAGTGAAGTCAGATCTAGGTCGACTTAACCCGGTTAGATATTCGAAAGGGATTCATTTAGTCAGAGTTACTTCGTGGGTATTTAGATTCTTTAATAATCTTTGTAAATCCGTTGATGATCGCCGTAGAGATAGTATTCTCAAGATAGATGAACAGATAGAATCGGAAAACTATTGGTATAGATATGCTCAACATGACTCGTTTGCTGATGAGATCAGGTGTATAGAAAAGGGAAATATGGTTGATAGTAAATCGAGTCTTGTGCAACTCAAGCCATTCCTCGACTCGACTTCAGATGGTCGACTTCAGAAAGCTGAACATTTATCGTTTGACTGTCGTAATCCAGTTATTCTACCAAAGAAACATGAGATTTATCGCTTAATAGTTAATTATTATCATGAACTAGGAAATCATAGTTGTGGAACTTCCCATACCCTCGCTAGTTTAAAAGAGGAGTATTGGATTCTTCGTGGTCGTGAATTGATTAAAGAAGTTAAATAGTCGGAGATTAAGAATACCAGTAGAACAACTTATGGCCCCATTGCCTAAAATGCGTTTAGGTGTACCTTTCAGAGCGCTTGCAAGAGTTGGAGTCGATTATGGAGGACCGTACCTGACAGTACAAGGTCGTGTAAAGTGCGAACTAAGCGTTATTTATGCTTATTTGCCGTCTTATCGTCGCGCGCTATACACCTAGAGATATAATGGAGTAGACACTGGCAGTTTCTTTGTGCCTTCGATCGGTTTGTTAGTCGCAGAGGCAAACCTATCCAAGTATAGTGTCGGATAACAGTACTAATTTCGTAAGTGCCAACCGTGAACTTCGAGAATTGTTTCTTACTTTAGATCAAGATAAAATTGGTAGTTCTTTAGCTAATAGAGGAATCGACTGGAAGTTTATTCCACCACTAGCTCCACATTTCGGTGGAGTGTTTGGGTCGCT